AGCTATGCAGGTGAGGTTCGGTGGCCCACAGGAATGGGGTGGTGGAGTCTTACCCTGTCCTAGGGGGTCGCTATGCGTCGGAATTGACTTGATGGCAGTGACTTGGGTTTTGAGGAGGAGAGCAGGGGAAGGCAGAGGTGACTGACTGGGGGTGGGGTGGGGGTTGGGGGCAGGGGGCTGGGAGAAGGGTCAGGAGGAAGCCTAGCTCTGGTCCAGCCCTCTATGGAACGGAGGAGGATTCTGGGACCCAGAGTGGTCATGATGCAATATTAACCCTGCTGACGCTTTTAGGGACCTCTAACTGTCAGAAAGCATCTTTCTTCTCCCTTTCCCCAGATGGCCCGGGTCTAGAATGTAGATGAGAAAGACCGAATTGCCTCAGCTTCCTAGACTGGGTGCAGGGCGCCAGGTGACTCGGCCAGACTGCCCCCACTGCATGGAGCACACAGCAGGAGGCGCTGTGCGTGGCCAAGCTGCCCCGGGGCTGCAGACGTGGCTGTCAGAACCTGTGGTTCTACACCTGCTTGGCCACAGTTTCAGGGCCAGAGAGCTGTGCACGGGGGCGCAGGGGTGGCGTGGGGGGCAGCTGCTCTCTCCTTACTCCAGAACTTTCAGGAGGTGGGGGCAGGCAGGCTGGGTGCCTCTTTCCCTCCCTCTGTCCCTCCAGTGGCCTTCAGGACCCTCCCCAAAAGGTTAATTACCAAATCATCCCACCAAAGGAAATTGCACTTTTGCGCCTTGAAGACCAGGCTGAGCTTTCGCAACGTGGTTATTTATGGCCTCTAATAAGCATTTTCCAGGGTGATTAACCTTTATGCCAAAGTCACACTGGGATTTGGGGTGGCAGCTTCAATTCCAGCTTGCACTTGTCTGGCCTGGGGGTGGGGCTCGGGCAGCAGCTGTAGCAGCAGGCTGAACTGACTGTCAGGCTTCACCCCCCCTCCATGGGGAGTGGGGAGACATCTGCACTGTAGGGGACTAGGAAGGGGCTTCCCTCTCCTCTGCCTGTCTCTTCTTCCAATAGCCTGCCCTGCCCCAGCCTGACCAGGCCACAAGGCTATTGTCCTTCTCCATCATTCAAGTAATGGAAGCCAACCCAACCCACTGCCATCGAGTCCATGCTTAGACTGACTCTATCATCTATCTATCTATCTATCTATCTATCTATCTATCTATCTATCTATCTACCTCCTCCAAGTGAGGTAGTTAGTTTATAGTGCCAACCTGGCTGATAAACACATGTGGGGTTAATTGAAGGGCAGAAGGATAAATGGCTCAGTAAGCCTCGCCTTTCTAGTTCTCGGGTCTCTTGCTTTCTGATGGTCGGACCAGGGTGCAGCTGCCCTAGCCAGTTCCCTGCTTTAGCTGGCAAGGCTCACTTCCTGCAAGACATCCCTGAGGAGAAGCCACATGGACCTACCCCGATGCAGCCCTGGGTGCTGGAGCACCCGTGTGGAGACCCCTGCCAGTGCTGAGATGTTTACACATTCACTGACTCGGCTTTCCTCCTGCAGTCGGCATCATTGCGTCTGTTTTGTGAGTTGGAGGAGGACTTTGTGGATTGGTGTTGGACATATGGGCCAATGTTGGACTTGTGGGCTTGGGCAGCACTGGGTTGGGATGTTTTCTTGATGCGCACTTAACCTTTATATAAAACTCTCTCTTATACATGAGTTTCTGTGGATTTGTTTCTCTGAAGGACCCAGACTAGCACACCAAGTTAGTAAGTCATTGAGGGAGCAGACAGCCTCATCTTTCTCCCAAGGAATGGCTAGTGGTTGAAGCACCGATCGTGTGGTTGGTTAGCAGCTCAACACCTAACCCACAGCACCACCAGGAGCTTCTCAAGACAGACACGAAGCACCTCCCGACTGGAGTTCCTCTAGAAGACAGGCTGAAGTCCTAACTCTCCAAGTCTCTGGGACCGTGAAGTCCGGCCTCTGCAGAAGCGACCTAGCCGTGCAGGCCACATGTCTTAGGGCTAAAGAGGCAGAGATTGAAGTGATGCAGCTACAAGCCAAGGACTGCTGGCAGTCTGGGAGCTGGGGGAGACAAGAAAAGAGCCCCTCCTAGGGTCTTCAGGGAGACCCTGGCTCTGCCAACTGAAACTTTGTTTCTGGGTTTCCAGCCTGTAGAACTATGAAAGAATGCATTTCTGTTGCTTTAAGTCCTTGGTTCGGGTAATTCGTTACAGTGGCCCTAAGAGTGAGCCCTTTCACTTGCCGCCGTCCAACTCAGGGCATTTCAGGTTGGTTCTAGTCCAAGGCTGCCCCGTGTGTATCAGGTGTCTCTGTGTGGACTTGAACCTCCACTCTTTTGATCAACAGTCAAGCGCATTCACCCGGGGTTCTGTAAACAGGCTGCACACCTCTCCCACATCAGATGTAGAACGAGTGTACTTACATATCTAAAAACATACTCCCTGCCACTTAGTCGATGCCACCCTCTAGGATGGAGTAGAACAGCCCCTGTGGGTCTCTGGGATTCCATCTCTATGGGAGCAGATAGTCTCCTGTCTCCCTTGGGGGTGGGGAGGCTGGTGGGTTCAAACTACTGACCTTGGGGTTAGTAGCCCAATGCACAACTCACTACTCCACTAGGACTCCCAGTGGGGAGACTAACACCTGCTTTCTGTAGCTCTGGTGCTAAGTGTCGACAGCTGACTTCAAGGTCAGTGGTTCCAACCCACCAGCTGCTTCCAGAGAGAAAGAAGAAGCTGCCTGCTGGCAGCCTTGGACAACTGTGGAGAGAAACTATGTGTGGACATCGGCCCCGCGGCATTGGTTTGGGGTTTGGTCTACAGCTTTGTGGCCCCTGCCAGTCCAGGGGCCCAGTGGGTCCCAGGGAGGTGTTGAAGTGGTGCCATCAGCTGACCCCTGGTGGGTGGCTAGCCTCAAGGTCGGAGGCTGGAACCAGCGGCTCTGCGGGAGGAAGATGAGGCTGTCGGCTCCCCACTAAGTGCTCGGAGGAGAAGGTGGTGGCTGGTGGCTGTCGGCTTTCGTAGAGATTACCACCCTGTGGATCAGTTCAACTATCCAGAATCGACTCACCTGCACCCAGTCCAGACTCCCCCAGATGAGGACTTTCAACCTTCAGAGAAAATAAACAGCAACCAGCTGTGAGTTTTCTGTTGGCTGAGACAGAAAACCAGACAACAGGTGCCGACATGGGCAAAGTGATCAACATATTTAAAACAAACAGTAAACCTGCTCTGTTGTGGACATCGACACCTGGTGGCTCGTGTTGCAGGGAAGTTTTCTTGCCTGTGGTCGTCTGGTGACAGAGCACCAGGCCTTTCTTCCACGGCCCCCAGGAATGGGTTCAAATGGCCAGTCGTGAGGTTACACACACTCCCTCCCCGCATCGAGTCCATTCTAACTCCCAACGGCCTTATAGGACAGTAGAACTGGCCCCTGGGGGTGTCTGAAGCTGGAACTCTGTGGGTGCAGAAGGCTCCCTTGCACTGGTGGGTGGGTTTGAACCGTGGTTAGCAGCCCAACGTGTAATGTGCGATAGCTAGTCCCACCCAAGTCCCACTGCCATCGAGCCGATTCCGACTCAAAATGACCCTCCAACCTTGCAGTTAGTCATCCACCGCTCCCCTGGCAGCTCCCCGCAGGCCTCCAATGACTATGGACTGAGGAAATCCCAAATCCCGTGGAGAGGAAGACTGGACTTTTAATGGAAGTGTGATTCAGGAATCGGTCAGAATTCACCGACACTTCCACAGAATAAGAGGTGGTGAAGGCCTGCCCAAGAGCCGGCCGAGGAAAGGTCGATTCAAGAATTTGAAGAAGCGTCTGCCTTTGCATAATGTCAAGCTGGTCAGTCCCTACTTGGTAGGAAATGGCTGTGAACCTGCAGGCCCCGGCAGAGGCAGCGGTGTCAAGCCGGGCAGCCAAGGGCAGGCAGAGCCTCACCCCATGGCATTTGGCTTGATTTTCTGATGAAGCTGGGTTTGCTCTGTGCTCTGTGAGGCCCTGGATGCTCGTGAGCTGCCTGGCTGGGATGCCTCTGACTTGCACGCTGGCTGTCAAATCCAAAACAAGGGTAGCAAATGCCCTGCCCTTAGACGGTTCCCCTGTCTTTGTCAGGCGAGCGCCTTGTCAGCACCACCCCCAGCTGTGTGCAGGGCGTTTGGGGGACAGGCAGCATGTGGAAGGGGACCCTCAGTTGCTCTTCTCTGGAGCATTGGGGAGAGGACAGCAGCGTGCACCGGGTGAAGAGGGGGCGGGGAAGTAATGCCAGATGCAAAGGTGCTGGAAAGCTAAGTAATTCACTGTGAACGGTCCCTGATGTATCTTCAAGGGGGAGCTGAAAGACCAAGCACATATCCGGGCTTAGGGACTAGAAGGATGACGGGGGAAGGCCGAGCTGTACGCAGACCTGTGTTTTGGAAGAGTGGTCCTGATTTTTGCATTTGGGCCAGGAGAGAAGCAGGGGGGCAGACATTCCTCCTCTCCTCCAGCAGGGGGTCTGTCCACTCCGGTCGTCCCGCCCCGACCCCTTCCTGGGTGGCGCTGGCTGTGGAGCTGAGTGCAGCAGGTTTGCCAGCAAGGACACCTGGCTCCTGCTTAGCCAGCAAAGGCACTGGCCAGCCTGGTGGCTTCCTCTTCTCTCCGCGCCTGCGTTTTCATTTGGAAAATGAGGGCAAAGATTCTCCTCCACCTCACTGGGGACTGTGAGGTTTAATTACGGATTGATAGAGCAATGGAAGTTCCTTGGGACCAGAGAAATGAATGGGCTTCTTCTAATCACTCCTGAGTTCAGGTCCCCGCAGTTGGCTGCTCCCTGCGTTGGCTGTCCAGCGGCTGCAGAATGGGATGCAGCCATGGGGACCTGGGAAGGATGGGGGGTGTGGCCATCACAATCCAGCAGGCAGCTCCAGACCTCCTGGCTGAGAAGGGTGAGGGAGCTGGGGAACAGTGGGTCCCCGGTGGCCTGGACCAGATGGCCAAAAAGCTCCAACTTAACTTGCTCTCTTCTTCTTGTGCCCACAGGCCCTCCTCCTCTTGGGGCTGACCCCAGTCTCCGCTTCACTCCAGGATCCTGCGCACTGCAGAACCCTGTCCCTGGTGGGCAACGTCTCCGGTGAGCGCCCAGGCCCCGTGCCCAGCCCTGATCCTGCTTGATTCCCGCTGACCACTGTGCCCATGCACCCTCCACCCCCTCCACTTACAGCAGGAGTGGTGTTGCAGTTGGGTGCCGCCCAGTGGAAATCCCACACATGGCGACCCCAGGTGGCAGAGTACAGCTGCCCCACCGGGTTTGCTAAACTGCAGTCTCCACAGAAGCAGATCACGCCCGGGCGCTGCTGGGAGGGCTCAAACCACCGACCTTCGGGTTCACAGCCCAAAGCTGAGCGGCTATGCCACTAGGGCTCCTTAGAACAGGAACTGCAGGGAGGGTTTCCTGCCTCGGGCTCCAGACAGTGAGTGGGTCAGCCTCCCCGAGCCCAGTGCCGAGAAGGGTCTGCAGTGGGTGTGAGGCAGGCAGGGGCAGACCCGAAGGTCTTTGGGGGACTGTTGGCCTTTCCAAGTCTCCTGGATTCATTCCAGGCTGGCGGATTAACTGAGCACCTACTATGTGCAGACCCCACTCCAGGCCCTGGGGGAAGAGCCTGGCCCATGACTGGAGCCCACACAGGTTTATGCGACAGGATGGAGTGAGTTCAGAAAGCAGGCTATTGGAGAAACAGGTGTGCCAGCCAGGTGCAGGGCATGGGCTTCTGAGGAGGCCTGCTGGAGGAGGGGCTTCCACAAATCGGAGCAGTCTCCCCTTCTCCTCTCGGCCCCTTGCCCCATCTGCTGCCCCATTCACTGGGAGCTCTGAGGGTGGAGAAGTCTCAGCGGGACTGGGGTCCTGGTGGAAGGGCCCAGAGGTGGGGGTGGGGTGGACTGGTGGTCATGGGAATGAGAAGACTTTAGCCTCTTTGAGTTGCCCTTTGCTCCCCAGGAGTGGAGGTGACAGCTGCCTCAAGGGCCTGTCATGAATTAAGTGCTTTAGCTTTTATGGCAGTATTTCACAAATGGTAGGGGGCTTCTAAGGACGCCCACGGCCGGGTGCTGTTGCTGGTGCTACCCAAGTGCTTGCCACACACAGCCAGGGATGTTAACCAAAGCCAAACTCCCTGCCGTCGAGCCATTTCTGTCTCATGGCGCACCTATGGGGCAGGGTTTCCGAGTCTGCAACTCTGTGTGGGAGGAGAAAGCCTCATCTTTCTCCCAAGGAGCGGCTGGTGGTTTCGAACTGGTTAGGAGGGGTGAAAATCTAGGAAGGCTTCCTGGAGGAAGAGGTTTCCAGGTGATTCTTTAAAAAAGACTCTGAGCCTGGACTGACTGAGAGGCAGGCGCCTGTGCTCTGAGGACAGGGGAGGGCTGAAGAGGGAGGAGTTGTCACCCTGGGGTGATGCTGAGAGCTGAGAGCACAGGTTTTTGGCCAAGAGCGTTGTTGGATGTAGTGGAATTGCCCGGGGTGGGAGGTGGGAGAAGGGATGGGAGGCAGCCAGCCGTGTAGGTGGAGAACCTGAGGGGAGACCTGCTCAGAGGCTTGTCTGAGAGCAAAGGCCCTGTCTCCTGTCCCCTGTCCTCTGCCATAGGGCCAGGCCAGGCTCCGTTAACTTGTTGTGCTCCCAGAAGTGACATATCTGAACCCACACAGGTGTCACTTGTCCTTAGAGGGGATACACCTTCAGACTCCAGGATCTGTGCCACATGCCCCATTGCCCCTCCCCTATCCAAACCCACCTGGCCGTGTGGCACTCGATCCATCACCTCCATAAGTGCCTCTGATCATGGGTCATTTGTCTTCTACCATCGAGACTGACGGAGAAGGTGGCACGGAAGGCCCGGGGGAAGATGACACTGAGCCAGGGCCATTAGGGGGCTTTTCAAACCAGCCAGGAGCAGGGAGAGGGCAGGTCTCCGGAGCTGAGGCCCCATCACGTGGCAGGTCACAGACTCGACCACTTGTAAAAGTACACATCTGGATGATGTGACGATGGTGTATGATGTGATGAGGCCATGACGCAGTAGAAGTACTGCTGACGTGCAGCCCAGCTGAATGGAGGTACGGGCTTGACAAGGACTTGGGGCCCTGGGCTCCACCCCCATAATAAGGCAGTGGACGATAATAAAGCTCAAAAAGTCAAACTCACTGCCACTGAGTCCATCCCGATTCAGTGACCTTGTCGGACGGGGTAGACCTGCCCTGGTGGGTTTCCAAGGCTTGTAGCTCTTTATGGGAGTAGAATGCCTCCTCTGTCGCCCGTGAATGGTCATAGTAATTCTTAATACCTAAGGAGGACAGGTGGCACTGCTAACTGCAAGTTTGGTGGTTCAAACCCACCAGCTACTCTACGGGATCAAGGTGAAGCTGTCTGCCCCCCCCCCCCCGTCAAAAGTCACAGCTTTGGAAATCCTCGATAGTGGGTTTGGGGTTCATACTGACTTAGTTCGTGTCCAGCATATTGGACACCATTCTACGTGCTTGAATCTCATTCAGTCATCACAAAAAAAGGTCAGGAAATACATATACCCCCATTTGACAGATGCGAGTCATGAAGCCCAGGGAGGCTGTCACTTGCCCATGCACACCTGCCAGTCAAAGCTCTGATGGAGCTGTGGTGTTGGTAGTGGTGCGGTGTGCCCCACAGGACGAGAGGACCGGCCCGCATGTCTGAGGCTGGGATCTCAGGAGGCACATCCATGGGGCTTTGTGTCCCACAGGGGCTGGGGTTGGGGGGATTTGAACCAGCTGTGGTTAGCAGTCGAGAGCCTCACTTGTTGGCCACTGGTGCTCCTTCATCTGTGCTTTAAAACCCAGGGCCACCAAGCCCATTCTGACTCATGGCCCCCCTAAATAGAGCTCCTGGGGCTATCAATCTTTACTGGGCCAGACAGCGCAGTGGAGCATCTGCTGGCCATGACCTGCTGACCTGGTGGTCCTCTGTCTAATGCTTACCCACCGGCGGCCCCCGGGATCCTGTCTGGGTTCTTTCCCAAAACACCAAACTGCCTGCCATTGAGTTGATTCTGACTCACAGCAAGCCTCTGGGACAGAGCAGAACTGCCCCTGTGGGTTTTGAGACTGTCGCTCTTTATCAGAGTAGAAAGCCTCATCTTTCCCCCTCGGAGCAGCTGATGGTTTCAAACCACTGACCTTGCAATTAGAAGCTCAACTCTTGACCCACTGCAGCACCAAATCCAACATCACATGACAGCAGGGCACTCTTCTCTCCTGGCGGTTTATCTTCTCTTCCGGTCTCCCCACGCAGGGCTCACAGGGGGGAGCGCTTGTTCACCGTCTTTCCCACTTGCTGCCAGGCTTCCTTCCACGGCGAGGGAGGGGGCTTTGTCGCCCGGCCAGCTGGCTGGCTCCAGACTTGGTTCTTCTCAGAATGTTCTAGGCTCTGCATGTACAGGTCACATGCAGCTTTGGGCTGCTGGGCCTCTGGGGCTAGCCCCTTCTGTGAGCTCCAGGGCCTCGGGGAGGGAGGCAGAGGGCCCTGGGAGGGTGCAGAGACACCAGGAAGTGAGTGCGGGGAACGGGGTCAGGCCAGGCTGGGGGCCCCTGTGTGCATAGGAGGAGCTTTGTGATGGCCACAGTGAAAGACCAGCCATCAAAACCCTCTTCCGCTTCGGCATGCGTGTGACTTTGGATAAGCCTTGGACTGCTGGAGCCTCAGTCTTCTCTTCTGTAAAATGGGGCAATAGCGCCCTCGTCAAAGGAGCCCTGGTGGCTCCATGGCCAAATGCTCTCTTGCTAACTGAAAGGCCGGTGGTTCGAACCCTTCCAGTGGCTCTGCAGGCGGTCATCTCCCACCAAGATCTCCTCCTAGAACTGTGCTTGGCATGGGGTCGCTGTCAGTCGAAGGTAGTCGGATAAGACTGACTAGAATTACGCTCTGCCTGCCCCTGTGCCCCTCTCTATAACAGATTCGGCAGCCCTGGGGCTCCGGGCCCTGGATAGAGAGAGCTGGGTCCTCAAGACCAGAGAACCCCTCAGATCTGCCACCAGCCCAGCCTCATTTCTGCCTGGCCCTGCCTAGGCTGGTGCCCACTCCTGCCCTGCCCTCTGTTCTGTGTGGAAGGGGTCTGGGGAACTGCCCAGGGAGGGAGAGAGAAGGGAGAGAAGGCCAGCACTCCTGGCAAAGGGCCAGGCGCTCTCCAGGCCCTGCCACACGTGGCATCTCAGTGAATCCTACTTCTGAAGAGATCTGTGAGTGAGTGCATGCCTGGATGAACGAGTGAATGAGTGAGTGAATGAACGAGCAAGTGAACAAGTGAGGGAACGAGTGAACAAGTGAGTGAGTGAGGAAGGGAACTATTGAGTGAGTGAGTGAACAAGTGAATGAGTGAGTAAGCGATGGGTGAATGAGTGAGTAAGCGATGGGTGACTTAGTGAACAAGTGAGTGAGTGAACAAGGGAGTGTGAGTAAATGAGTGAGTGAACAACTGAGTGAGTGAATGAGTAAGTGAGTGAACAAGGGAGTGGGTGAGTAAGCGAATGGGTGAGTGAGTGAACAAGGAAGTGTGAGTAAATAAGTGAGTGAGTAAACTACTGAGTGAGTGAGTGAATGAGCGAGTGAGTAAGTGAATGAGTGAGTGAACAAGGGAGTGAGTAAACAAATGGGTGAGTGAGTGAACAAGGGAGTGTGAGTAAATAAGTGAGTAAACAACTGAGTGAGTGAATGAGTGAACAAGTGAATGAGTGAGTAAGTGAATGAGTGAGTGAACAAGGGAGTGTGAGTAAATAAATGAGGGAGTAAATAACTGAGTGAGTGAATGAGTGAACAAGTGAGTGAATGAGTAAGTGAATGTGTGAGTGAGTGAACAAGTGAGTGAGTGAATGAATGAGGGAACAAGTGAATGAGTATGTGAACAACTGAGTGAGTGAGTGAATGAACAAGTGAGTGAATGAGTGAATGAATGAGTGAGGGAACAAGTGAGTGACTGAATGAGCGAGCGAGTGAGTGAGTGAGTGAACACCCTCCTGGGGAAGACGGGGTTACCAAATGCAAGCTCCCTGTAAAGCACAAGCACCTGCCTGACAGTGCTGTTGCTGCCAGGTGCCATCGAGTCGGGATAGATGCGCAGGTCTTACTGCTGCACAGTCACTGGGGGGACGGCGGGGGTGAAACTGCCAGCCTTTCATTTAGAAGCCAAGCACTCAAACCGGCAGAAAGCACTCAATCCACACTGCCCGCCTCCCTGAGAGCCCCCCTCCATGGCTGCCCCCTCCATGGCCCTCCCTCTCATGACGCTCCTCCCCCACCTGCATGTCTGCCCCACCTTATCCACACGGGACATGGTGTGGACATGGAGGCACCAGATTTAGAATCACAAACTCCTGTGTTCTTTCCCTGAGCTTCCTGGGACCTCAGTCTCCCCATCCCTACGGAATCCTTGGCGCCGAAGGGTGGGGAGGATCCAAGGAAATATAGGAGGAAGTGGTTTGGAAAAGCTCTTGTTAAGTACTGGCTGGCCCTTAATATTACTGTTGTTAAGCACTGTGGACATAATTCCAACTCACACAGACCCCATGTGACCGGGTAGAACTCCCTAGGGGAATTTTCTAGGCTCTGGGCTTTATGGGCGATGGCATAGAATCTATGCCATAGATCAACCCCCTCCCACTGGCAATGACCACCAGGTCTTTTCTCCCCCACGACACTTCGAACCTCCAACCTTTGGTTAGCAGCTGCGTGCTCAACTATCTGTACCACCAGGGCTCCTTTGAATCTTAATACTGCCCGCTCTCTTCTTGCCACACCCTTCTGCCCACCCCCCACCCTCAGCTCAGCTCTCAGCACGATCTGAGACATATTGCAACCTGATCCCGGCATGCCCTGCCCACACATGCCCACCCGCCCTCCTCTGCACACTGCCCATCTTACCCTGATGTCATTAATTTCCCAGGTCCTCCTGTGATGGACACGGCTGCCCCTGCCTGCCCCCACCTGGGCCACCAGCCCTCGTGGCCTTTAAACCCAACCCAGACAACTTTCTTTTTCAATTAAACCCCTGGGCCTCCAGGCCCCCCGCCTCTTGAGCCCTGATTCTCCTGCAAATCAATTCCATAGATTTGATTAGAAAGAAAAAGCTGCATGTGGTTTAAGGGCTGCTCAGCACTGCCAGGTCCCGCAGGGAAAGGAAGTCAGTGGAACCCAGGGTGGCTTCCAGAGAGATTGGGGACAGGCTAACTGGGGAAGGAGATGACAGGCGGCCCCAGCCTGGAGTTGACAGTTGCTGATGCCCAGTCCTGGAGTCCCCCCGCCCCCGTTGGTCCCTGGTGCTCCCTGGCTCTCTGTGTGCCCTCATGCCATGCCTGCCTCTGGCCAGTAACCACCCCCCCTCATGGTGGGCACACCAGCCCTACCTGGAACAGGGTGTCATAAGGCATGCAGGAGGCTGGTAGGGCCGTCCTTAGCTCGGTCTTCACCCTGGGGACCCACATACCTCCCATCCTTCAGAGGCATCCCTGTAGTCTTAACACACATAGGTCACCCCCAAAGCTCTTTAATGAAAGGACAAATATCTGTATGGACCTTTGGCTCCTCTTCTGTCCGGTCACCCCGAGTTCGAAACACAATGGCCATGGTTTGGGAGGGTGGCGGTTGTCTTTGGATGTAGCTTGGCTAGTTTCATCTTCTTGAGCCGCCCCAAGTCCCTCAGTGATGCCATTGATGAACATGCTCAGCTACTAACTCAAAGGTTGAAGGTTCAAATCCTCCCAGAGGCACCTCAGAAGAACGGCCTGGTGATCTGCTTGGCAGCCCCATGGACCGAGTTCTAGGCTGACCCACATGGGTCACAGTGAGTGGGGACCGACCCAGCGGTATTACACACGGCATGTATAAGAGGCACTTCAACAAGTTCATGGGGAAATTCCGTCTTTATTTACTTATTTATTTTATTGACCCTCTTCCTCACTACAATTTAAGCTTCATTTTTTTTTTTTGCTTTGTTTTCTTGTGAGGCTGAGATCCCTTTTAGAATCTAATGAAAGCCACGAACCACGGACCCCCACTTCTCATCCAAATACTCAAGTGCACCAAGTTTTCATTGAATTCCAGGGTTTCTCTGAGTGCCTGGGGGGGCCCTGCTGAAGTAATGGTTTACACGGCAGGCTCTTAATCACAAGGTCAGCCGTTGGAGACCACCAGCCTCCCTGAGGGAGCGCGAGGAAATAGATGCTCTGCTCCCGTGAAGAGTTTCTGTCTGGGAAACCCCCAGGGGCACTCCTCTGCCTACGGAGCCTCGGTGCATCACCATCGACGAAGCAATGGCAGTGAGTTTGGCTTTGGGGTTTGGCTGACTCCCCGGAGGTCTCCTGTGGCCTAAGACAAAACAGTCTGATCCCGTCCACCTCTTCCTTTCAGAGAGACACTGAAGTGGCTTGCCTTGGTCACAGCAAATTATTGGCAGAGCCCAGTCTGCAGGCAGGGTCCAGACCCCTGGCTCAGTGCCCTTTCTGTTACCCTGCTTTTCTTCCAAAGCCCCTTCCCAGCCGCCCCTCCCCGGGGCCCAGCACAGACTGAACATGAACAATGGGTCCATGATGTGTGTGGCTCTTAGATTCCAGAGACATGTGATGGTCTAGCTGGTTCCAGGGAGCTCCAGTGTGTCACTAAATGGGGAGCCAAGAGAGGTGTCCCCAGGCCACCAAACATGAGCTGTGAAGCATGTCTGCCCTCCCTCTAAATGCCAGCTAGGGAGGGCCTCGACTTTTAGTGCCATCTCTAGGCACCTCGGTTTCTCCTCGACTCAAGACCTCACGCTGGCTCCCCAGTGCCGTAGCATCAATCCAGATGCCTACCTCTGGTGCCTCCCCTGAGTAGCTTCCTGCACAGGGGTGGGGACAGAGGGGTCACTGTTCTTATCCTGACCCCAGTCAGCATGTGAGTCTGGGGCAATGGGAGGTGGGCAGGTCTCTGGGCAGCCTCTGTCTTCCTGGGGCGGGACCTGGCTCTGCCTCACCAGTTGTTTCTGTCCCCAGGACTGCATTGCAATGCATCTGTGGACCTCATTGGCACCTGCTGGCCCCAGAGTCCCGCAGGGCAGCTGGTGGCGAGGCCCTGTCCTGCCTATTTCTACGGTGTCCGCTACAATACCACAAGTAAGTAAAGTGGTGGGGGCCAACCATCTGCAGGCAGGCAGGGCAAACTGGGGGCAACCTGAGGGTGGGAGAGATGATGACGATGATGGTGATGATGCCCCCCGCCCGTCAGCACTGCCTCTCCAGGGTACAGCCACCATTTGCCAAAAGCCAGCTGGGTTCTGCTGGGCTCCCTGCTCATTCCTGCCAAGCCTCACGGTCCCCACTGGGAGACACTAGCAGGCCTTATATAAGGAGCCTCCGGGCTCCACATGGAGAGGGAGCTTGCTCGGGATGGCCAGCTGGTAGGTGGTGACGCTGGAATTAGCAACCAGGTTTGTCTGACACACACTTTCCTTTGCACCCGAGAAATTCGAATCTGCTTGACACCGCCCGCCTCCCCCCCCCCCCCCCCTCAAGCGGCTCTCTAAGGTGAGGCAGGAATCACTGCGAACCTTGACCTCAGGGACGTCAGGGGCCCACCTGGGCCCACCAGCAGGGAGGTGAGGGACTCAGAGTTTTAGGGCTACAGGCAGGGGGCTGGGCCTTGCATCCTAGGCTGGAGAGGAGGAGTGGGGGGGGACTGACCCCAGCTGTCCTGATACTCGATCCCCACGTAAACACCTGGGCCCCTCTGCCCAGGGCTTTGCAGCTCCTTGCTACCCCTTCGCCACCCCCACCCCCACCCCTAAATTAATTTGCTGTCCTTCACCAATGACTCAGGGCTGGGTTTTTAAAGAACAGCTGCTGGCCAGGGTCCTGCCCTAAGGGGGGAGGGGCTCAGACGTGGGTGGGTGGGGTCTAGGGCCCTTTGAGTGGAGCCTCCGGTTCTGGGGGCCCGAGTGAACACAGCCGCTGGGACAGGCCCTTCAGCTGGAGACTGACCAACTGAGCCCCGGCACATCGCTGCCCATCCTCCCTGGTCCTCTGGCCCCCTCCTCAGGGGGTCGAAGGGGTGAGAGGGCTCAAGGTTTCGGTCTTCTCCTGCCAGCCTCCCTTTCACCAGATGAGCCACGGGGGCGGGGACTGGGACAAGAGCCAGGAGGGGTGGGACAGCCAGCCCAGGACGTGACCACCTTGGCCGACACCGTCCCTGGGGAGCCATTAGCTGGGAGAGGGACACCTGTAACCAGCGTCCTAGCCACAGCCAGAGGAGCCCGGAAGAGAGAGGGGACTGAGGGGAGGGAGGCAGGGGAAGAGAAGGGCTGGATCCTTCCTAGGGGCGAGTGCATGTGTGCGTACAGCCAGGCCCGCCTGAGACCGCATTGGGCTCCTTTGTCAGTGAGGGTGCTGAGACACAGAGCAGCTGCCCCAGGTCCAGCGCCGCACCCTCCCACACCCCTGCACCTCTCTGGAGCCCCGGAAGGTGGCTGCACATGGGCCGGCTGCGCCAGGCTCCTGCACAGGAGCGGGTGGGGGGTGGCACCAATGGCTGCAGGTCCTGCAGCCCCTTCTAAGCAATTCTCAGGCTCCGCTTTCCCGCTCTCTATCCCAAACCCCACCCAGGAGACCTCTCAGCTCTGGCGCACCCTTGTTTAGAGTCAGCCCTTGGGTGCCCCCATTGTCTCCTGGTCAAGTTCACCCCACTGGGCTCTCTGACCTGGGCCCCGCAGCCAACCTTTGCAGCCAACCCTGGCCACACCCCGTGAGTTCCTGTCCTTGTCCCCAAGGGTCACTTGAGATGCCCCAAATACGCTCTCTAAGCCACATGCTTCTTGGTTTGCCCTCTCGGCCTTAAATAGAAGCTGGGAGTCCGATTCCAGGCTGAGCTCTGCCTGTACCCCAATGAAGAAGCCTGGGCACTGGCCTTCCCTGGGCCTCAGGTAGGGAGAGGCGCTCTCTGGGCTTCTTCACTCCTCCCTCCCCGACCTCTGCTATCCCTGGAGAGGAGCAGAGGCTGCTGGTCCCCTGGATATGGGTCAGGGTTTCAGACAAGGCTGTGGCGGCCCCACTCCCAGGTGCCCCAGCCTAGCAGGCTGAGCAGGATGCCCTGTAATCAGCAGCAAGTGGGCACCCAGGTTGTACCTAATCATCAGGCACTAATTAATTCATTTACTGATGAGGCACTGCCAGGGCTTTGAGGCCTCTCCTTCAATGCCTCCCTCCGGCTGCATCCAATGGGAAGTATTTCCAAAAATATCCCTTTTCCCGTGATTCTTCGGGAAGAAAGACTGCTCAGCTCAGCAATTAAAGACAAGGAGGTTGCAGCCTGTCTGGCAGCGGCTCCCCGCATGTGGGGACCACTTGCTTCCAGAGTCACCCCTTCCGTCCCCACCAAAGCCCGCTCCCCCTGGATGACCCAGCACGGGGGTCCCCAGGTAGGGTGCGGTAAGAGGGCCTGGAGCAAAGGAGGCTTCTTGCATCCTCTCCATCCACACTCGGACTCCCTCAGAGAGAGACACGTTCTGAGTCCTACAGGAAATGCCCAGCCGATCCATTGCTGTGGACTTGAGTCTGACTTGGAGTGACCCCATCCCAACCTCCACCCACCAAAAGGTGTCCAACTCCCTGCCAGCGAGTCACTTCTGACTCAGCGACCCCATAGGACAGTGTAGCACTGCCCCTGCGCGTGCCGGAGACAGTCTACGGGAGTAGAAAGTCTCATCTTGATCGTGGTTTCAAACCGCTGGACCAGCGGTTAGCAGCCCAATCCATAAGCCACTTGGCCACCAGCGACCCTACAGGAGGGAGTCAACTGCCCCCTGGGTTTCCTAGACGGTCACCTTCGCAGAGGCTGGCGCCATCTCTCTCTCCAGCAGAGCGGCTGGTGGGTCCACACCCGGCCTTTCCCTGAGCAGCGGAACCTTAACAACCGCACGCCCAGGGCGCCTGGCTCCCCTGTAAGGTTATATCACAACAGCTCGCAGACAATAATAATGGTGGGAACAGCTCACACCATGCCCCAGGTCCCTGGGTGAGGCGAGTGGCTTGCTCATGGCGGCTAACCTGCAAGATGTTTGCGCTGTGCTGCGGAACAAAGGGCTGACACTCGGCATCTGCAAAGATTAAACCACTGCCGTCGCAGTGGTTCTGACCGTAGCACCCTTACAGGACAAAGTTGAACTGCCCCACAGGGGTCTCTAAGGCCGGTGGGCCTTTGGGTTGGCAGCTGAGGGCTTTGACCCCTGCACCCCCCAGGGCTCCTTCCGTAGAGATGACCGCCCACAAAACCCTATGGAGGAGTGCTGCTCTGTGGCTCACAGGGTCTCCTGTGAGCGTGAGAGTCAACCCAGCACCAATGAGCTTCATCGTACCAATCAGGAAGCTGAGAGGGCGGATGATGTACCCCAAACCCACGGTGATAAGGAGTGATGCTGGGATTTGAACCGAGGCTGCCTGGGTCTGGGGGCCCAGCTCTTCACCACTACTCGGTGCTGCACACCTACCCACTCCGCCAGCCCCTCTGCCCCCAGGTCCTTTCTCTGCAACCCGGGTCCCTGTCACGCCGCCACCCAAAGCACAAGCACTGGGTCCCCCATCCACCTCCACACGCCCCAAACCCAGGCCCAGCCCGAAGCAGCCCTCATTTAGCAATTAGGAGAGAACTGGAGCCTAAGGGCTCAAGTTGGGGCTGAGACTCCCCATATGTCGGGGAGCTGGGCAGAGCTGTAAAAATCCTTTTAGGCTGATGCTGCGCCTGCAGGCAGGCGTGAAGCGGAGCGGTGATCCAGGCTGCTGTATCAGCCTTCCTGCTCTGGAGGCCAGGCAGGCTCCCAGGGGTAGGGTGGGGTGGGGCAGCCCCCATCATCTCCTTGCTCCGGTGATGCCTGCAGAGGGGACCAGGAGGCACACCTCTCCTGTAAGCAATGGATTTGGGAGCACCATGACAGCTGAGCGGGCCAAACACCTTGCTCCTGATTCCCGTCCCCTGCCCAGTGTACTGCCCCGGGGGACCAGGGCTTCACAGCTCGCCCCCACCCCACCTCCTGCAGCCTCACAGGGGGAGGGTAGGTAGCAGTCTCAGGTCTTGGGGCCTGCAGTGGGAGGGGCAGGACCACAGAGGAAATATCTCCAAAGCTCAGCTTCTCTAAAACACTCTCAGGTCCTTGCTTACTGGGTCTTGGGGTCCCCTGCTGCCCAAACATGGGGAGAAGGATGGGAAGAGGTCCCTTTGTGCAGCCCCACTTCGGGGCTCCTCCTCAACTTACTTGTGACGGCCTCCTGGCTGCAGGAGGATCCATCGGTGTCCAGTGTGCCAGGCTAGGCGGCAGCTGTAACAGACCCCAGGAAAGAGACCCACTCCACGTGACGTCCCAAAACATTTCCATCACTTATCACTGTCTTTGTGCCAAGAGGGCGCTGGCATGGGATTGTCCCTCGCCCCCCAGGGACCTTCCCTAAAGCCTGCCTGTGCACAGCCTCCCCACAGGAAACTCACATGACACCAGGCGCAGGGACCACCCACTGGACGGGACACCTCCCCCAGGTTAGGCCCACCATGTGAAACCCTGTCATTTAGATTTGCCACACGAGCTGTCACCAGGCCCAGCCATGTGGGAATTGGCTCACAAGAACTCCCCACTTCTTGTTGCTGCCACGTGAGCCACAGCGTGGGCAGGTTCTCGGAAGAGAGCCCACCACGTCATCAGCCACCGTATCAGGGAACAGCCGAGGGTGCCAGCCTCACCTGCCTGCGGGGTGTCCCATGGGTGCAAAGAGCTGGGGTCCTCCAGGCAGGTGCTGGAGCAGCCAATAGGCCAATACACCCTTGTCAGAAGTCAGTGTTCAGAAAGACGCAGGATGATGGGGGCGGTCGGGAAGCCCCTCTCCCAAGCTTCATGCCAGAGTCACCCCCCACCACACACACATACAAGGTAGCCCCATTGCTGGCCCAGATGGTGGCAAGGTGGACAGGTGAGGGGACAGATGCCCAGGCCAGGAGCCTGTGGGTCACTACCTCTCTCTTCTTCATCCAGACAACGGCTACAGGGAGTGCCTGGCCGATGGCAGCTGGGCCGCCCGCGTGAACTACTCCGCGTGCCAGGAGATTCTGAATGAGGAGGTGAGGCTCACTCAGCCAGGCTGCCTGACTGCAGGGTGGCTGGGGGCCCAACGCTGGGAAGAACGAGGTCCTGGTTCCTCCCTCCGCCCTCTCTCCCTTCTTCCCCCTCTCCCCATCCCTGCTTCCCTCCATCTTTCTCCCTCTCTCTCCCTGCCCCTGTCCTTCCTTCTCTGCTGATTGGGTAGCTGCCCGTGGGCAGGTGCGCCCAGCAGGGCACTGTGCTGCCCTCACACAAGAAACAGTCGCGGGGTTCTTGTCTACTTCCCACCCCAGTTCCGGGGCTCGATCAGAATCAGGGAAGAAAGAGGGTCGGGGTAGCGGTGTCATTTGCAAAAGCCCCTTGGAGTCCTTTTAAACACTTAAATGATTCTGAGTCAAAATCATGTGCACAGTGTGCACAGTTCAGAAGGTGCAAATGGGACCGCAGGGAGCCAGGTGTCTCCCTCCCAGCCTGGCCCCGGGTCCTCTCCTCTGGCCGGGTTCCTGGGCGTCCTTCAGAGCTGTGCTCCCTGCGGGAAGAGTGGCGATGTACATTTGTTGTTGTTTGTAGCTTTTCCTCTGTAACTATCTATCTTGGAGGACGCTTCATCTCAGCCCATAAAGAGTGACTTCGTTCCTTCCTGCATTTGCATAGGATCACAGTGCACGATGGACCATCATTGATCTAACCCGTCTTTATTCCCAGCCCTTGGTAGTGCTGCCATAAGGCTTTAAGGATGGCACTGGGCAGCTGCATGAATTGAGGTGCCCACTGGGGTTGCTGCTGTCAGTGCCCCGTGTCTTCTCGCCCGCACCCCATTCAGTCTTCAGGGGGTGCCGAGGAAAGTGAGGGCCTCGAGGCTGGCAGAGGGGTGAGCAGGAAGCGAAGCGTGGGAAAGGAGTGCCTTCCCAGACTGCTCAAGGCCCCTGGCTTCTGGGCAGAGGGCAGAATGGTCCAGGCACTCCCCAGAATTCCAGCGCCTGAGGGATCTGAGTTGGGTGCGCATGTGGGGCTGGGAGGGTGCTTGAGACTCTCCATCCTATCTTGTGATAAGGATCTAGGACCTAGAGTATGTGTTCACATACAGGCTCCAGGGCCGCCTGCACGACTCCTTGGGTTCCGAGTCATTCCGGAGGGCCTGGAAATCTGGATTTCTTATAAGTGCTCCAGGGAAGCCTTCTGAGGGTGGGGCAAAAGGGAGGAGCCCTGGCCTTGGGCGGCCCACCTGTTCTGCAGATGGGGAGACTGAGACCTGGAGAGGAGTGATTATGCACGGCCATAATGGGCAGAGGGGATCAGAGCCTGGAGTGGGGGGCTTCTGGGCCCGGACACCCTTGGCCAGGGTCCTGGGCAGCGAGGATAATGAGGAAGAGCAGGTCTCCCTCACCTGTAACACCCCCCTGCCCCTGAGTGCTCTGGTGAGCCCCTCCCCCAGGCTTCCTAGCCAATGTTACTGAGCTGTTGGGTTCTGCTGACCCCTCTTCCAGAAGCTGCCGATCAGATGATCAGAAGGGGGCTTTGCCTGCAGCTCCCTGCTGCTGGCAGGGTGGGAGCATGACCCAGGATGAAGGTGGGGGGCTTTGTGGTATCTCAGAGTCACCAGGCCAGAGAGTGTGGTTACCCCAGGATGTGCGCGAGCAGACACACACACACACACACACACACACACACACACACCACCACCCACCCCCGCCCAGGTCCCTAAATACAGTGAGACAGCTTGGCAGGTCTGGGAACAGGGAATACGATGTGTCCCCTGGGATGAGGGGAGGAAGTTGGGGGCAGGGGGCGTTCCTATGTTAATAACCTCAGCTGGGTCCAAAGAGGAGGCTGGCCTGTGCTATCTGCCACGTCGGCATGCCCACAGCAGGGTGGGGGCAAGGGCTCAGCTAGACCAGGCATCTCAGCACCTCATGCTCCATGGGCCGACTGAGCCAGAGGTCTGCCAGGTGGCCCCACCCACAGGCCTGGTCAGCCCTCTCCCCAGTCTGCCCTGAGTGCCATCATCTGTCCCCTGGGGCAGGCACTGCCAGTGCGCCCAGCTCCCTCCCTGGGCCTGATCCTGGGATTTTCAGGAATTCCTTCACAGTTGCTCTAATTGAAGTCCCCGTTCCTTCTAGTTAGCTGGAGGGGGTGGGGCACAGGCCAGGCAGCTCCCTTCTGAGACAAGTCTGCCCTCCCCACCAGCAGAGTTAGGATGGAGGGGACCCTCAGCTTCTCAGTATCCCCATCTTGGGGTCACACGGTTGGGGCCTGGGGTTCTGGTCCCAGCATTTACATCAGGCAGGTAACAGCCTCACGAAACCCCAGCTTCCTTACCTGGAAAAGACCAAAGAGTCATACAAATCGACCTCCTCCCAGGGAGCCCTGATGGTGGGGGTGGGGGGTGGGGCAGAGTAGGGGGGGAGCGTTGGACTGTGTATTAGTCTGGGTACTTTGGAGAAACAAATCCACAGTGACTCGTGTATGAGAGAGTTTTATGTAAAGAAAATGTGCATCATAAAAACATCCCAACCCAATGCTGCCCAAGCCCACAAGTCCAACATTAA